TCTCATGGATATTGCTTTAAGCCCACTGTTGATTAAAGCAATTTCAGTTGTAAATTTCTGCTGTTGTGCGAACCGAACAATAGATAGTTCTGCCTTGGCCAAGTCTTCAGGAGTCAGATTTTCTTTCTTCAGAGTGGTCTTGAACCTTTTCATCTGCTTTTCCAATTCTTTCTTTTGACTTTCTGGATCATTGTTATTCAAGTCTGCAGCAGCAAACTCTTTCCTTTTCTGTTGCAACAACATCAAGATGTTCTTCAGCTTTAAAACCCAGGCAACAGAGGTTTTAAGCTTTGTCCAAGATGAAAAATAATGAATCAGATAGTTTGTAGCATTTTGTGATTCATTCACAATAACACTCACTGTTAGGTCCCTTTTGACCTCTGGATCATCTGCAGGAATTGCATGGTGATCCACATCCAGTTTAGGCCATTCCTCTTCTGATTTGTGGAGAAATTCAGGCCCATTTATCCACCTCCTGCATTTGAGGAACTCCTCAGCTCTCATACCTCTGGATGCATAATCTGCAGGATTCTCCTTGGAGAATACATATCTCCACTGATTCACGTCTGTTGCTTCTCGGATGACAGAGATTCTGTTTGCGACAAAGGTGTGAAATCTTCTGGTTTCACTGGAGATGTATTTTAGTACCGTTGTACTGTCAGTCCAGAAAACAGGTTTTTCCAACTGTATTTGCAGCTCCTTTTGCAACAGTTTATTCACTCGGACAGCAAGAACAGCAGCTGTCAGTTCCAACCTGGGGATTGTTGTTTGCTTCATAGGAGCAACTCTTGCTTTTCCTATAATGAAAGCAACATGTGAGATGTTATTGTTTTCCAGTTTTAAATATGACACTGTTCCATAGCCATCTTGACTTGCGTCAGAGAAATGATGAAGTTGTGCTTTGTCTGGTTTTCTAATGCAGCTTGGTTTGATGCAACGGTCTACTTTAAAACTGGATATCCGCTGGAGATCCTCCAGCCAATCAAGCCACTTCCTAGAAAGAGAATGGGGAATAACTTCATCCCACTTCAAATTCTGTCGACAAAGATCTTGCAGTAACAGTTTAGCTGGCATACTGAAGGGAGCCAGGATTCCCAAAGGATCATACAGTGAGCTAACTACAGACAAAATGCCCCTTCTGGTGTGTGGGCGGTCCTCCACAGATGTTCTGAACTTGAACTCATCAGTTTCAATGCTCCACTGTAAACCCAGTACTCTCTCAACTGGAAGTTGATCTTTGTCCAAATCCAGACTTTTAATTTCTTTTGCTCTCCTTTCCTCTGGGATTGACATGAGCACTGTGCGACTGTTGCTTACCCACTTTGAAAGCATGAATCCTCCTTTAGAGCAGAGTTCTATCAGCCTCTCCACCAGGTGCACTGCATCTTCTTCTGTGGGAACAGCTTTTAAACAGTCATCCACATAAAAGTTATTTTTGATTGTATCAACCACTTCAGCTGGAAACTGTTGTACGTTATCATCAGCAGTTCTTTGCAGAGCATAATTTGCACAGCTTGGTGAAGACACTGCTCCAAATAAATGAACCAACATCCTGAACTCCTGTGCAGGTTTTGAGGTGTCACCATGTGTCCACCACAGGAAACGGAGAAAGTTGACATGTTTTTCAGAGACATACACTTGGTGAAACATGGCGTCGATGTCAGCCATCAGTGCAACAGGCTCTTTTCTAAATCTGATGAGAACTCCAACCAGAGAGTTAGTGAGGTCAGGTCCCTGCAGAAGCTGACTGTTCAGTGATGCTCCTTTATAAGTTGATCCACAATCAAATACAACTCTTAACTTGCCTTTTGTGGGATGATGCACTCCATGATGAGGAATGTACCACAGTTGTCCATTACCTTTCTGTAGCTCATCTGCTGGTACAGCCTCAGCATATCCTTGTTGCAGCATGTTGTTCACACATGCAGTATATTCCTCCTTGTATTGAGCATCCTTTTCAAATCTCCTCCTGAGGCTCTGGAGGCGCTGCTCTGCAACACAGATGTTATTTGGCAAGCTGGGACTTTCACTCCTGAAAGGTAAGTCAATATGATAATGACTTCCAACAAGTTTTGTTGAGTTATTAACAATCTTCATAAAATGCAAATCCTCTATAGACATTTCGGTTTTCTCCTCTGATGATCTTTCATTAAAGTCATGATTGTACTGAATGACCAGCATTTCTTTAAGATACTCAACAGAGATCCTGTTGGCTGTTACAGAAGTGCAGATATTTTTATTTCTGCTGTTTCCACTGCGCAGAGGACCATTGATGACCCAGCCAACTTTAGTTTTTACAGCATAAGGCCCACCATCCACACTGTTTATCACCTCCCAGGGCTCTAAAACATTTGAAGCATCAGTTCCTATCAGTAGCTCCACATCTGCGTTGATGTTATGAAGCTTAACAGATTTAAGATGAGGCCACTGATCAATGTCCTTTTGCTGGGGAATATTCAGTGTAGAAACTGGCATAGTCCTTTGAGTCAAAACATCTGGCAATGCTATGAAATCATTTGTTTTCAATTCAGAGATTTCCAAACCAGACAAAACTTGTACATTAACAATCTTATTTTGATGCATTGTTCTCAGCAGAATATTTGTCCTTTTGCCCTTTAAATCCAGACCTTTTGCCAGAGTTTCTGTACAAAATGTACCTGAACTTCCTGGATCAAGAAATGCATATGTTTGTACAACTTTGTTGCTCTTTTGACTTTTAACTTTAACTGCAACAATAGAAAAAACAGCATCATCATTATGACCGGCCCCAATATGCCCACATGTCTGAGTGGTTGCAGTTGAAAAGTTGACATGAGACCTTGTTGCCTGTGGGTTTTGTTCTGAAGAGGCTCCTGGCTCCTTTTGC